ACTAATAAAATATATTTTTTAAAAAATATAATATTTTCACACATTATTAAAATTTTCGTGAAAATTTTTAATTATTCAAATAAATCTTTATTAGGTATTGTTTCATAATGAATATTTTATTTTTTTTATTGATATTTAATTATTAAAATATCTTAATTTTTCACCATTAAAAAAAAAATCCCATTAGTACAAAAAAGGCAAAAGAAAAGTGGGACACTGAGAGTTGACTGATATGATGTGCTTAATTTCTTGGTCCTTTGGGAGAAATTGCGTGGTGGGATCAATTAAAAAGGAGCAACCACCTAACTTTCTCATCTTCATTTCTCCCCCAAAGCCAAAGCTCAATCTTACAACCCTTTCCTGCAAACTCACCGATCGATTCAACTCTAAAGACTCTTTTGCGTTATTATTCTGTAGATCTTGTTTTCTTGTTCCAACATTGAACATTCCACAGGAAATCAAAAGCCAAAAGGTACTAATTGTATGTTCACTTCACATGCGTCTAATTTAATTTGGTTTATTCATTTGCCTTCTCTTTTCATTATGATTTTGACGACTAACAAAATAACTGCCCTTTTGCCTTGTTTTTCAGGTTTTGAAACTGGTTAGGATGGAATCAATCGAAGAAGAGCATCCACTCAACTAAAATCAAAGCAGAATCCAAGACTACCATCGTCTGCACTCTCCCTTTTCCACCATCCAAACTCATCACTCTTCTTTTCTATCTTTAATTATGTGTGTTGGATGATGACCAAGAAAGCACCCAATGCTCAGTAATCTAGTATTTTCTGGTGGAATAAACAAACAAAAAGTGATCACCTAACTTCTTCTTTTTCATTTCTCTCCCTTTTCTACGAAAACAAGAGCTCCCTAGACCCATCCATTGATTGCTCTGCCATGATTCTTGGTTTCTTGTTCCAAGGCTCCTCCTTTGCAAGCTAGCTCTCAATATTGATCATTCCAGAGGAAATCCAAAGCCAAAGGTACATATATATTTACTTAGATGCATCTCATTTTGGTTTATCCATATATTATCTACTTTTCTTTTCATTAATTATGTTTGACAAATGACAACCGTCACCCTTTTGTAGTCTTTCTGGTACTGAAACCGGGTGGAATAAACCAAAGCAAAGAAGACCCATCACTTAAATCAAAACTCAATCTAAGATCCATTTCTTCATTTTCCCTCTTCCACTCCATATTCATCAAAAGGTAATTTCACAAGATTCATTTTGTTATGCGTCTCCCTTGTCTTTTTTACATATTAATCAAATTTGCTTGGTTTAATTTCTCTGTAAATCTTAGTTTTCAGTTTATTAATATATCTTGTACTAGAATAAAAGAACATTTTTAGATTTCATTTCTTAACAGATATAAGATGAAAAGTTCAAATTAATACTAGGCTAATTAATATGTTAACTAAATAAATTAAAGACATGTATACAAATGATTTGTCTCATCATTCTTGCAGAACACTATTTGTTCCATCAAAGTCCAACAATGGAAGTTGGGGCCGCTCTTTTATCGGTAACGTTCGAGTTGTTGCTCTCGAAGTTGAATTCTGCTGTAAGTGAATGGGTGAAGTTACCAAAGAAAGTTCGTTCCGAGATGCAGAACTGGAGTAGTCTTTTGCCAAAAATCCGTGCTTTACTTGAAGATGCCGAAGAGAAGCAAGAAACGGACCGCCAGGTGAAGTTATGGCTTGCTGATTTCAGGGATTTGGCATATGATATGGAGGACATGCTTGAAGAGGTCGAGATTGATGCCAAGAGATCTGAGGTGATTGCAAAAGCCAAAGCCAGCACCAGTAAGCCACAGAAACTGATCTGTCCGAAATTGTTTAATAAGGTTCCAAGATTCATGACTGATCGAGATCAAGAGATGGCTTCCAGGGTAAAGGATATAACTGATAGATTGCAAAACATTGAGGCCAACATAAGTAAGTTGGGCCTGATCAATTCGACTATGAGAATTGGAGATAAGTTTCGCAAAGTAGCTACAGAAAGATTGTCTACTACTCCTTCACCTGAACTTCATGTCTATGGTAGGGAAAATGAAAAAGAGGCTATTCTTAAGATGTTGCTCACTGATGAAAGCAAAGATGAGCCATACTCTGTTATTCCCATTGTTGGAATGGGCGGATTGGGCAAAACCACTCTTGCTCGACTTGTTTATAGTGATGAAAAATTGAAGGGCATGTTTGGATTAAAGGCATGGGTTTGTATATCTGAGGAATTTGATGTTTCTCGAATAACAAGATCCATTTTGGAGCAAGTAACTGGGCAAAAGTGTGATTTAGAAAATCTTTCTTCACTTCAAGACAGATTGAAAGAGAAGTTCTCTGGTCAAAAGTTTTTACTTGTACTAGATGACATTTGGAATAAAAAGTATGACTTGTGGGATAAGTTGCAGAGGCCTTTCTTGTCAGGAGCATTGGGAAGCAAAATAATCATCACAACTCGAGATGAGAATATTGGGAAGATGATGAAGGGAAATGATGAAGTTTACAATTTAGCATTGCTAGAGAATGATGCATGTTTATCATTATTTGCTCGTCATGCACTGGGAGTAGAGAATTTTGATGCCTACCCAAATCTCAAAGGAGTGGGTGAGAAAATTGTTGAAAAGTGCAAAAGATTGCCATTGGCTATAAAAACCCTTAGCGGTCTCTTGCGTGGTAAGCCACATCTTCACGAGTGGGAATACATATTAAATAGTAAGATATGGGATTTACCAGAAGACAGTAGTGACATTCTTCCAGCTCTGAGATTGAGCTATAATCACCTTCCTTCTCATTTAAAGAGATGCTTTGGCTATTGCTCTATATTTCCTAAAGATTATGAATTTGATGAGGGTGAGTTGGTTTTGCTATGGATGGCCGAAGGACTTTTGCAACAACAACCACAGATAATGAAGCAAACAAAAGACCTTGGGCATCGGCACTTTCATGATCTATTGTCGAGAGCTTTTTTTCAACGATCCAGTGGAGATGAGTCATTGTTTGTGATGCATGACCTCATGGTTGATTTAGCCCTGCATGTTGCTGGAGATACATGTTGCACCCTTGAATTAGATGGAAAAATATCAAATGTGAGCATTCAAAAAGCCCGTCATTTGTCATTATTTCCTTGTACATATATGGTGTCAAAAAGATTTGAATTCTTGGAGAATAAAAAGAATTTACATACATTCCTGCAGCTGAGGAGTTCTTACTCATGGTATAGGCGTTGTTACTTATCCAACACACTCTTGCAAGATTTGATGAAAAATCTAAAATGTTTAAGGGTGTTGTCTCTTCCGGGGTATCAGATAACGAAGCTCTCTGATCAGATTGGAGACTTGAAGCATCTACGATTCATTAATTTGTCTGGTACAGAGATTGAAAGTCTTCCTGAGTCAGTGGGTTGTCTTCTTTATTTACAGACATTGTTGTTAAGGAACTGTCGAAGGGTTTCCAAGTTACCTACAACTATTGGAAATCTACTTGATCTCCAACATCTTGATATAGCTGAGACATCATCTCTAAAAGAGATTCCATCAGAAATCAGCAAGTTGACAAATCTTGTGACATTGTCAAAATTTATTGTTGAAAATGCTAAAGGACCAAGACTACAGGACTTGAAGAAGTTGTCATGTCTTCGAGGCCAGCTTTCCATTTTGGATTTACAAAATGTTTTAGATGCTAATGACGCAAAGGAGGCTAATATGTCTGAGATTCAGGGATTGGATGACTTATCCTTGGAATGGTGTTCTGATAACCATGATGGGCGAAATCAAAGCATTGAAATGCATGTCCTCAGATGGTTAAAACCTCATCAAGGTTTGAAACGATTGAGAATCAATTGTTTTGGCGGGTTGGAATTCCCATCTTGGATAGGTGATCCATCATTTTCCAACTTAGAGTACTTGGAGCTATGCAATTGTAAAAGCACTTCATTACTATCACTTGGGCAACTACCCCAGCTCAAAGAATTGATCATCACAGGCATGTGCACAAATGCTTTTGATTTTTTTAGTTATTGTGGCTTGTTTATATATATATAT